ATATCATTCTGGTTTAGCTGTGAACTGATCCTCCAAAAATCTGTAGATGTGGGGTCGGACACAGAACCACGAAGAACTAGCGCTATTCTAAGTGAGCTTTTATCTGATAAAAACACGAAATCATAAATACTACACCGTTTTCTGTAACGATCATCCCAAGTGCCTACTTTGCAAAAATGGAAAGTGAGGCTTAGCACGACATGAAACATATTCAACATATGCACCTTAACAACAAAACTGAGCGCCGAACCAGTTCGCACCATTATTTATCATAACTAGCACGAGCAAATACCAAAGAGGGGCCTGCCCATACAAAATCAGACTATCTTTGTCTATGGTAGGTTAGTTGGCAGCATAATTTGACGTTAAACAAATACCGAATTTATTATTGTGCCTGCCTGGGGTACGATAACTGGCATGTTCCAGGCAGCTGTGCTTTCATGAGACAACTATCTATGAACTTACGGGCATATAGGTTATGCCTCATCTGATAAACTCAACACATGATTACTTACTCACTTCGGTACAAGTAGGCTCACTAACATGGTCTTCTTTCGTCGCTTACGGGTATATTGATTTACCAGCTTGATTGCGTTGCTGTGGCACGTTTGGTTGCCGATTGCGCCACCTCCTGGCGCATTTAACAACTAATGTCTGCACTTAGGACCACTTGGACGACTTACCAAATATGGGGTGCAATTCACCCTCTTCCTATCCCGCCTTGTATGACACGCCCAGGTTCCGTTCCAAGATCCTGCATCAATATGAGCCCCGCCGCTATTTCACTTTTGTAACGAGATGGTGATCCCCAAAACTATAAGCAATGTTCTGCGCCTTCAGGCGCAATTGATACGACCAGAAAATGAAATATTGCAGCATGAGTTATTGCAATAGGCTATACATGATAATTACGTCCACTGGAAAGTTTTTTTCATCCTTACACTGGGTAACCGTCTTTAACCGTACCGTTACGCCGGTATTCTTGTGATGTTCGTGCAATGTTCGTGGTCAGCAATTTCCTAATCTCACATTGGGCATGAGGCATCGTAACCTCCCGCCCTAGCCACCTGTATTTCGCGCGACCCTCAGCGCAGTGCTTTTAAGCTATGTGACGTGTATGGTGCGTTGGGATGTGAGAGCTCTAATTATTTATTTACATATCTCTAACGCCAACATTTGCACAGAGCCGGAGCATTTTCTGTATGTTTCATGCATTACTTTTGGCATGCTATTTTCCTTAACCTTGGTTACTCGTGTCCACTAGCACAGCTTCGAAACGTCGAGCTGTCTCAATGTATGGTCATTCTGCGACAAATCGGCCCCGGATAGGTTAACTTCAACATGGCACCGCCTTCAAATCCGACAAGCCTAAGCCTGTGAGGTGATCATATAACCGAAGCAATATTCCGCAAGTTTTAGAGTCGTTTGGCGTACCGATGAAGAACGAAGAACGGGTGGAATACTAGATGGCGTCAAAAAACATATTTTGCAACTTGCTCTAGCGAATACAGATCCCGGAATAATCTGTTTAAGGAAAAATACACCAGATAGCTAAATACCTATGTTTTACCCGGAATATGGGTCAACGTAGCATCCAAGGCCAATCAAATACATATAGTGGCCTAGTCTGATCCTTGACTTTCTTTTCTGGAAACATGACACCTTCGATTTTCTTTAACCCGATATGCAATTGAAGACCAATTTGTCGCTGTTTAGGCCAACGAAAAAAACATCGAAGAGATCTCTTCTAAGCTGACTACAAATGCACTTTGGACACTGGCGGATCGCTTACGGCGGTACTCCATGGCCCGACCGGCCGATCTCGGGTGACCGGGCGCGATCGGTTCACCCCGCTGGTAACTACGATCGCGCCCTCGGAATCATTCGTTCCGATCTTAAATCCAGTAATCTAAAAATCATTCCGTTGATCAGCTTTCATTCCTGTCGTCCATTACGAGTCGTCTAGGCGGCGGCATCGTGGGCTCTGAACCTTCGCAGCACATCGATAGTCATTACTTAAAGTTAAGCTGGAGTTGAGTGGAATTGAGCTGAAGCTCAATATGAGAAGAGAAACAGCTGGTTTGAAATTACACTGCTTTGACCAATCTGGCGGGAGCAAAGTTGCAAAGTTGTCCAGCATGCCTGGAATAGCACACATGGAATTCGATACGGCACACATCTAATTCGACGCCGGCTTCGAGTGAGCCAGACAGGGGCTCAACAAAGTGTCAGTGTGTTCAGAGCCGTCTTGCCGGAAGGTCGGAAAATGAAGAGCCGCAGTTTTGCCTCATTCAGTAAGTGTCCCCTGGGCATGCTCAGTAAAAAATCGGGTGAAATTAGTGGAAAAGAACAGAAAAGGTGCTTGTGCGGCGTAGCGACATCACGGTGGGTGCGGTGCGAACGAGTTGCCATCATAATGAACAATAGTCGTTAAGTTGCTAAGTTGTCTCAAATATGTCTGATCGTCGTGCCAAACTGAAGACACATGTTAGGACATTTGACCTGAAGCGCAAAGGAACAAGCATGAGTTTACACAAAATCAACGGCGGTTATTTAGAAAACAACTCCGCTCTGAACGGTTGGGTGGAAATCGGCTACGGTCTACGGGTTGCAAGAAAAAAAACATCGCCGTCCACCGTTTCCAGACTTGACGCCATCCCGTCAACGGCTGGGTGTGAAGAAACCGCATAAGTGATAAACACAAGCTCCGAATCAGCTGCCACTGAAAGGCCGAGGTGAGCTTGTTCCAAGGTGAGCTCGCTATTCGGGCTTACCTTAGAGCAGATACACACAACAAGGCCTACGGTTAGAGTAATTTCTGTTCGTTCAGGTGGGCGTAATTTGACTTTCTCTTTTCATGCACGTGCTTAAGATGCAGGATGAGCGTGTCCCCCTCTTACTGGCGCCCGCCATTTCCCTGCGTACCTTAACCTGCACAATAACGATAATGGTGACATTTATATGCAGTACTTTGCGCCGAACATTTCAGGAAAAGCCCTAAACAAACGCTCAGTCCTCTTGCCCAGGTTGACAGGGGCACCGCGCTGTGAACGATTGCGCGGAGATCCTCACCAGGTGCTATCTTCAAATGAGGCAGGTGGATACGATTAAGTTATGTCTGAGAACACTGCCATCTGGTGGCCAGCAGTCGACTGAAAAGTACAATACGATGACGAATACCGGAAAAAGCGAGCTAAAATTTTCACAAGCGGCTCCTGATTGCTCTGCTGTGCGAGTGGCCGACGCCATCGGCGCCTATACGGGGTTCACTCGTGAACATTAGAGAGGGCTCAGAGACTCCCCTAAGGTTTTCGGAAATGACTTCAAAACGATTTTGTAAGTGGCGTTGCATTTTTGGATAAGCGAGTTGAATCTCCTCTTTACATAATTTACTAAAACTCGGAGCTTTTTGCCTCGGGTGTTTATTACACATGACCTCTTTCATGGCGTTTATGAGTGAAATTTGCTCAAAAGTGACAGGCGGCGCTTATATTGCGTAGGAAATGGACTCCCCATATATATATTTCTAGATCGCCTTTCAAGTGCAATATCTGATCAATCGGAAGTGCATTAACACCGTTCACGTGGTTTTGAGGAGTTGTGGCATCCAAGGCCAAGCCAGCTCATAACCATACTTTACACTTTTACCGGATTTTTCCCTTTTGAGTTTTATACGACTTAAACTTCAATTCACATATGTCATTGTTGAAGTGGCTTGTCTGATGTTGTTCTGCCCGAATATATGACTTGTTTGGTTCTTTATGCAGCCGGACGAGCCAATGCGACATGTATAGCTGTATCCTAGTGCCTGTCTAATATAATATTGGACGGGCTATTCAACGCCACCTTCCGCATTTTCACGACTTACACATTTCTTGACAGGATAAGGTCTATAAGACACTAATTTGACGCTTGTGATCTGATTTTACCTGACAGAGCTCACATTCAACATTGGATAGTCTTTCCTTTCTTATGCACTTTGACGAGAGCTTCCTAATTACATTTTATCTATCGCTCTAACCTGATTGGTTTTCGAGATTTCAGCGGGGTGGGGGGTGGGGGGGGGGGGGGGGGTGAGGGGTGTAAGTGGGCCGAGGACCACTTTATACGGCGACGGTGAAAAAACCTGTCCAGGGGCTAATGTGGTAATAACAATGGTGGTCCCATGGTATTGAAAGTAAGTATTCCGCCGCATCATTAGTTCGATGCGCCCCACTCCTATCCTCTAGCGCGCGTAGCCTCATTCATGGAGCTACACTGGGCACCGAACAAAATGTCGAATTTTGGCACATGCGAAACGGCGAGACGTTGACCTGACCGCAACGTTCATTTAAGTTTACATCCGATGACAGCAGGTGGAACCGGGCTAAATTATGACAACTGCCACGAATCCTATAAGATGACTCGTAATGATGGCTTGATTACTACATGACCAAAACATGATTTGCCTTTCTGATAGCGAGTTGGAGTTCATCAGTAATAAAACACTAACGCGTAAGGTTGGAGCGAACAATGTGACATGATATGAGCTTTTACAATCACTTCGTGGACCGTCTGTTAGTTGGCTAATTACGCTGGCCATGAAGCGAAATCCGTCCCTGTAGTTTTTATAGGAGCGCGAGCGGCTACGCATCTTTGAGGAGCGGATAGAAATTCTCATGCAGTCGTGTTCGTACCTATAGGTTTTGGTATATCTCCGAGACCTGCATTAACTCAAACCTTTATTTACCAACACGATATCTTAACTCAAGTGCCTGCCAGTTAAGCTAACTTTGATTGCATTCTTATGTGTCTTTCGTTCGTTAATACAAAAAAAAACAACTAAAGGCATGACCGGTTTTCCCTCGGCTGGTGGTCAACAGCTGCCTGAACGACGGCCAAGGCCGACCAGCAAGTAAAACAAAACGCTACCGAAGAGTATGAAATGGACACACCTAAATATTTACCCAAATATTTATACACCTAAATATTCACGGCAAGTTCATACTCGAGCTACTCACAGTGTGCTGATGAGGTGAGCAGTGAAAGACAGAGCAGAACCAGGGCGACATCTGAAACGACCAGAGCAATCAGGGTCGTGCGGCCAGGCAAACGAGGTATGGCCTGCACTTCAGGCATGCTATTTCTCGATTCGAATATCATGCACGGATCAATGAACGCTTACACACCTTTTCCTGCCTGATTTGTAACCTAGGTCTCAAAGTACTGTTTCAAAGGGTCTCGATCCTGCTGACAAATGACGCGTGATAACATATGTCGGAATTGTTGGCGCGTGGTGTAGTCCTACTGCAATCTTGCCTTATTACATACCGAGGCTAACTTTAAAAGTTGTATCAATGTGTGCATTGCTTGAGTGGAATGTCGTATGCTGGTCGACGAACGCTTGCAAACCTTTTCCTGCCTCATTTGTCACATTCATGGACGGGTACAAAAATATAGGCAATAATCACACCTTTGTGAACACAAAGTGTCAGGAACGTTGTTTGAAGACCACTGATTATCCAAATTTCGCTGTGCAAACCTTTGAGAACGAAGCCGCAGCTCGGGAATCTATTACACTAGCGAACATAATTTTTCAACACAGGTTTTAGAAGTTCTTTCAACAAAGCGTACAAAGTTCGTTACGATCCGCCGCTGGTTCGGGGACTGACGTAGCCGAGATGCGGGTGGGGCATTAGTGCTCGCCCCCTTAACACATAAGACGTTGGCGTCCTTTTGTCCGATTAAAACACTCTGGCTCAGGAATTTGGTGTCACAAAACCTACGCAAAACGGTGCCCAATGATTCTAGACAGATATTTCAAGTGTTTGGAGCTCTAAACACGCCTGGGCCGTGGCAAAACCGGTTTCTCGAATAAAGACACGTCCAGGCTCAGACACATAGGTCCCACACCTAGATAAACTTTATTATACCCGTTCGCCAAGCGGAGGCATGTTGACAGTCGTGATGACCTCCACACACGAGGCAAAGCGATTCTTCCAGGAGGGTACCAAGTTTGCGAATGAACGTAAAAGTACGTATGGCCACATGTGGCTAAATAATGTTCTTTGCTATAATGCTATCACGGCAGTAATAGGGAGCTGTAATGCTATCCACGGCAGTAATGCTCTAATGCTACGCAATGCACTCTGCACATGTTAACAGTGCGAAACAAAGGCTCTCGTAAGGGACTGGCTAAATTCTTGCATTATTTATTGTTTGGACTGGACTGGATGGGAAAATCGCCCAACCATGTGTTAGACCTTATCCTTAAAAAATGGAGCGGCTCAAACGAATCAAAATGGGCTCGAGACTATCCAAGAACACCAACCTGTTCAGAAACATATTTTTGGAGCTATGGGCACATCATGTATAGAAACATACTATGGGTATATAACATACGTCATGTGCACTGTTGGGTCGAACTGGACTGATCAGTGATTTATTGATATCGTTAATGATCAGCCTGGGCTCCCTGGCCTGGGTCGTGATTAGATGTTTGTCACAAAAGAGAAGGGTGACCCGGACGAGGTTCAGATTTTTATGCTGGATTGGACTAAGATCTGAGACTGCAAGCCACAAAATGCGCACATTTGTTCATTTTGAGGTACCTGCGCTGTGCGTCACCTCGAAGCGTTCTACATCAAACGGTTAAGTCGAAGAGACACCTCAACACAAGCAACGGTGACCCTATTTTTAGTTCAGGGGAGTTTGCCAGCGGTGTGAGCAGTTCGGCGCACACTAACAACGGAGTGCTAGATTGTGTTTTTATCGTTCGTGGATGCAAAATGGCAAGGTGCAGCCAGTATTTCCTTGCGATCAGTAAGGTCCGCCAGGTCAAGAAGGTAATCCGGTCATTGGGGCTTGACGACGCACTCCACTGCTAAGGGACATGGCTTCGCCTGCCTCTTATCCCATGCAGGCAGGGAGGACACCGTGCGGATTCGGACCCCGTACCTCTGGTTTCCCAGACGCACAGCTTAATCACTGCACTTTTGGTACTCCCTGAAGGTGATTTGACGATAAAGCGGCAAACTGACATCACAGTGCTGTTAAACACCAGATTTTTATGGACCACGATAGCCGTATGGCGTGTAATGTCATTTCCCAGCCCCTCTGCGGGTCAACGAAATGAGCGATCTTAAGACCATGCCCCTGAAAATCCAAATCTTCCCTCGAAGATCAGGTCTCCCCCTAGGAATATCCCGAGAGATGCCTGATATTGTCGATATATAAGAAATCGATGGCGTGCAGAGCGTGGTAATAAGGAGGGTGCACTGGGCAATACCTGCGGGGGTGAATCAGCCAAACACTTGTACGTGTGTGATGCTCCCAACGATAAATGTTATGAACAAAAGCTCGACCACCCAAACATCAAACAACGTCAAGTGTTCAGCCCTCTAGCATATGCAATAAGTAAAGACCGACGCTACAAAGCTCTCAACTGTCACTCGACCTTACATAAAGACCGGGTATTGTTCGATCTGTTGACGCAGCGCAAGTGGGATTGGGGCGTGCCGTGCGCGGCGCCAATTGGGTCCACTTTCCATTGCGGCGCAGGTGCAGTTCAGAAGTCCCATTCAGTGTTCGAGGATTACCTGGGGCTCCTATGCGGCCTAGTTTCCGTGATGGGGATATAAGTTCCAGTCTGGCGCTTGACTGGAAACAACATGTTTCGAAAGTTGTTTGGTGCAGGAACCCACCGGAGAATGTGACGTGACGGTTTACGTTAACGGGCTCACCACCAGTTTCAGTCTAGCGTTGATCCAGCACAAAACTTTGCTGTCAGAACTGGGTTGATGCGGAAGCCCCACCCAAGAAGTCGTGACGGCTCACATGGACACACGGTTCACGAGACAGCCAATTCTGACCCTCCAATGGGCATAACCGCGTCCAGCGAGTCGCTTTGCAAAGGACGCATTTAGGATACGCAGCACGCGCATTGCGAAGCGCGACGAGATAACGCTGGAGGTAATGCAATGCCACGAGGCGCAGCGTGGCGCGGCAATCTCGCGCGGCTGCTGCGCCGGGCACCACCGCCCCACAGCTCGGAAACGTCGACAAACACCTGCGGGGGCCCTGTTGTGGCATCAGATATTGCTGAGGCTGGCGACGGCCGACAGCTGTGCTCGGGTCGTGCAGGGGCTCGTCGGGAGGGGAGGGGTGACCCGAGGCCACACCCGTCCAGGCGAGTTTGGCAGGCGCGATGTTGAATGCTGACGCTGGGAAATCCTTTATCGTGTTCGGATGAACTGGGGTATACTACATAGGGATGGGTCGAGTCAAAAGGGATGCCACGTTCCGCCAAATTTCAAAGGGTAGTCAGTAGATCTACAAAAGATCAACAACTGCTCATCTTTCCTCGTGGCCTGACAGGAGAAAAGGTCAAGGTCCTTGCTGGGGCATGCTCGGAATGCTTAAAAGTCAAATTTTGCAGTGGTGGATCAGAAACACATGAGAAGCCCAAGATCACATGCCGCATGCATGATGCCACAAATCGCTTTGCAAACGCGTCCGAGTTTCGTTTGCGGAAACGTCTTTGACGACCACTTTGACATGGCTGCCAGCAGCGGTGTCTGGCCGGAAGCACCCTCCCGAGCCGCCTCACCCGCGCGGCGTCCGCTCCAGCGGAAATGGAATTCTGCTAGAGCGGGCCCAAATGAGTCAGTTTTACGGCCGGGTGGCTTGTAACTGAGTCATTAGCGAGTACCAACCAGGACTTCTTGGAACCAAAAACAGCCCACTGCAGCTTGTCTCGCTCTAAATAAATAATTGGTTAGTGCCAGCCAGCGTTTCTACGGAGCGGGTAGGCCCGGCAACCATTTGTCTCACTCTCGCTGAGATGTCAGCGAACACAGCGAACGCTGCCAGCAGCCAGCGTTGCGTCATGACGCCGTGGACTCATTCTGCCATCATCCTCAAACTGTAGAATGCAACAGTAAGGCTAAACCAAAGGTGCCTTTGCATGTCATAACGCTCACTTTGCCGGACGAGTCTGACATACCGTGCACGACTGCGGTGGTAATAACTGCCCGGTGCCATAGCTGGTGCATGTTACAGTCTGGAAGTTTTTTTGGCGACGGTACGTCTCTCCAAAGCGTTTGACACACTTTATCCGTGAGCAAAAGGCCTCGAACAAATTAGTGCAGACATGTTATCCGTTTTTATAATTGAGTCATTGGCATAATATCACAAGTCCAGGTCTGGTCCTCAGCGCGAGTCCTCCTGTCTTAAGGCCTAGTCCGGGTGCCTTGCACCAGGACCTTCATTCCAAGGCCGAGTTAATCGTTTTATGGCACATCAAACTGAGTCTGGGTCTTATAAAACTGGGTTGAAGTCTAAGTCTCATTCCAAGGTCATCAGTTCCGAATGGAATGTACGGTACAAGGATCACTGAGGACAAATGTCGTTTGGGATACAAATAATCAGGGTTAAATATCGCTGGGGATAAATGTTCTCACAGATGAAAAACACCAGAAAATATTGCCATGGATACCTGAAGGCGTGAACAAAGATCGTTTGGTGTAAGCCTCTTGCCGTATGATATAAAAACTGGCAGGGTCAAAGGTTGCAAATGTACTAGCTGTCCATCTAACACAACAGCCCAACCCAGCAATCCAACCTAACTTAGTCTTCTTAAAGGACCAAACCAAATCTAATCCAACCAAACCAGATTGCACGAACCGCAGTGAACAAAATCTTCGACGCAAACCAAAACAGAACCAAGAGAGTCGACCTGTGTGGTTTGAGTTTGTGTTAGAGTGCAAGTCCGAGCTAACTTTTTTAATGCTGTGTTCAAGCCGAGATCAGATTTGTCTGTGAAATGAATCCGAAGCTGAGTCCGGGCTGAAACAGAGCCTTCATCCGAAATCGATATATGTGTCCTCACAACTACTCATCAGTTTAAGCAAAGACAGCTATATAAGACTCACACATGCTCCTGTCACCTCCTGGCTGCACACAAGATGTTATGACCGGCGGTACGCCGGCGTTTCCTTGACTGCTCCGACAGACATGAAATCATGGCATCCTTGCTGTCCGAGGAAGAATTACGTTCCTGAATATGCCCATACGGAACGGAGAATAGCTTGTGTGCAGAACGGATGACAAACGGGGGGGGGGGGGGGGGGGGGGCGGGCAGCAGTCTCTGCTTGTCGTTTGGCGTTTGACTTGCTCCATGCAGCTGAATTGCGCCATCAGGCAGCACTTGCGCCGGTGCTAGGGCGGTAGCGTTTCAGTTCAATGGCCATGATGTGCTATCCATCGTGCAAGTTATAACTCAAATAATGTGCGTCGTACGCCTTCGTTGCAGCAGTCAAATGAGGTTGAAATAAGGCCGAGCTAAGGGACCTTTATTTGTAGCTGGAAGCTTTCAAGTTTGAAGGTCTCGTCGTAGGTGCTATTTGCCTTGCGTGGTTTACGTCTCAGATTAAGGATGACATCGAAAACTGGCATTCACATGTCACAGACAACGGCAGCAATCTATTGACAATCAGAGTTCACAAAATGAATGAAATGTGCGTGGAACAATGTGGAACAGAAAAAGGGCCGGCATGCGGGTTGAAGTAACGATGTTCTGACATATTGGGTACTAGCAACAGCGGGCAGCTGTCGCAACGCTTGACTGGAGCCGCAATCTTCTGCTTGGATGGAGAATCCTTATGTCAGCATTATAGTTGCTGCAACTGCCGTCTGTTTGTCAGCAGCATTTACAAATAAGTTCAGGAAAAGGGTTCATCTTCAAAAACCATTGTCTTTTCGACATTCCACCCACGACACAAACCTTTCTGTAACCTGCTGCCATAGGTGTATGATAGTGGCCTGAGTGAAACGATGCGACTTTTGTATTTGTGTTATTGCCGATCGAGATTAGAACTAAAATATTGTGTACAGAAGACAGAGGCCTACACTCGTCGTATTTCAACAGGAAACAAGGACATAAGCACACAGCACGGCTCACGCTTCGAAAAGCAGGGGCAGGACGGATCGACCGACCGACGCGGGTCAGTCTGCTCTGCCCGAGGGCCGCTCACCTGAAAGGAGGCCGGCTGGTCGGAGCCGGGGCCGGGCCGGACCGCCGCGAGCCATCCTGGCCGAACGGAGCTGGCGGGCGGCCGGCGGCGCGGCGCCGCGGCATGCGGACTCGGTCGGCGGCCGGCGGCTCGCTGTCGGCGGCTGTCACTGCGCCGGCAGTCGGGCGCGCATGGCCGCCGCTCTGGACGGCCCCTGTCTGCGCCGCCGCCCTGATCTGCCACGCGTCTCCGGTGGCGGCGCGTGCGACGACCGAGCGGCGGCCTTTGGCACGTGCGGCCGTCCGCAAATAGCGCGCAGGCCGGGCCCCGCGGTTGCGACCTCGGCGACATCTATCGGTGAGAAGTGCAGGTAGTGGTTGGAATCGTTTCCCGAGCTTTCCGAGTGCCATCAGATTTCATCTTGGTTATCTGGTGGTGCAGCTGCCAGACCGTGCCGAATGGGTCATAGTGAGTAGTGTAACCCATTTGCTGGCAAAGCACATCATGTTTGGCTTCTTAAAGGAAGTGTTTCACATTTATGTGGGATTTGAATCGAAATAGCTGTCTTGAAGACCTTTCAGTGTTGTACACAATCCTGCCTTTCTTAAGGTCTAAGCTCACTTAGTTACTTAGCTACACGCCCACGAAAATGGGGAAATCAATGTTGGGGCGAACATTTCAAAGTCGCCCGAGCATTCAAGACCTCATAGTAACATCATTTAACTCTTGTCATTCCTTGGGCCACGCGGTGGTCAAGACCACGCAAAATGGAGATGTTGAGACGTTCATATCTGGCGTTCGTGAGATGATTTCCAGATAAAACGGCCGTCGATTGACTCCCAATCAAGGTTTTGTACGATGCGATGACGTCATCAAAAAATGGCGCGCTGAGGAGCATACTTACTAATCAAGGAATTGTGTTGTCTAGAGCAGTCTTTTCCGCTTAAAAAGTAAACAACTGACCATAATTGAGCTTGCCTAATCACATCTGATGCCTACTTCAGTATTCTCAAATGTGAAACATTCCCTTCAAGTTTGCATTGTGGTCGACGCATACAACTAACCTTTGTTCAGACGTCACACGTTGAGCCAGATGGCTCATGCAATGGAGCCACTTGTTATATGCCACTGAATATGACATACACCCTCCGGTTCTGGTAGAAAGCTAGACCATTTTTGTTCGTGTGGTTAATAAACACATCCACCTCCTTTGCCCTTTGAAACTGGCCCTGGCTGTAACACAGCTTTCCGTCTTTGTCCCTTGGCCCGAAGGCAGAGCCAAGCAATTATGTAACAGTCCTGAGCATAGGGACTACTGCAAAAATGTCCTTTGTTGCTGTCGTTTTTGTTCAGGCTGACGCATACACCGGGTCTCACGCTCCTTGTTGCTGCCTGCCTCGGTCTTACGCATGCTCTGGCCCAAGTAAGTCGATCGGCAGGTGGCGGCGCCGCGCCTCCTGGCCTCCCGTGGCACCGCGCCTCCCGTGGGGCCCGGCGCCCGCGCCCATGGTCACGTGTCCACGACGTCGTACCGTTCCCACGGCGGGACGGACGGCTGTTCATCCGAGCGTCGGCACCCAGGACGAGCTGGTCCGGCGGCTCGTCGCGTATGAGTCAGCTGGCACCCGGGCGGACCAGCTGCTCCGGAGGCTGGGCGGATGATGTGTCTACCCGCCTGAGCCGGGCCGCTGGTCGGGAACTGCCGTGGTACGGCGGCCAAGCCTCGCAAGAAGCTGCTGTCTTCCACAACATACAGCAGCCATAAGGCAGGACATGCATAAGCACGATAACAATCGGTTACCAATAACTTTGTAAGCGATACCCAAATGAGGACGTAAAAGTATGTGATACATAATCCAACACTAAGAGAGGCCCACGAAAACTGCAGTTGATCAGGCGACCGCAGCGCCTCTTGCGGACGCAAGCTATAACTCAAAGCCGATGCGGCGGTATCCATCGTATTGGCGGGGATGGGGTGCATATGAACCAAGGTCATGATCAGTCGGCCCGCAGTTTCTGCGGCTTCTGATTGCTCCGCTGGGGAAACACCCGTCGCTCGGCGGATGGAAGCAGTTTCCCCAGCCCCACGGCGCCGCCGCTGATTGCGCTCGTCTGGTTGACTACAGCTTCAGCTGAGTTTGCAGACGGGTCAGCGGCGGGCCGCTCGTCCAGCGTCCGGGCCCTGGTACCGGACGGCCCTCTGGCGCTGTCCCAGGTGAGGCTTCGAGCCCGGACGCCCCCGTCCGGCGGTCCAGCGTCCGGGCCCTGGTACCGGACGGCCCTCGGGCGCTGTTGCAGGTGAGGCTGTCACAGAGCCCCAATTCAATCTGTTATTAGTCAGATGATTCATTTAAGCCCCAAATTGGTGGAGGAGAGTTAGGTGAGTCATGACATGTCCAAGTAGCATTAAGACGATTTATTCTAAATCTATGCAACGGCCGACAATCTTAGGTCACCCAACTGACGTTTAGCAGCCTCACCCTTTCAGTGTACATGCGTGCATACGTCTTGTAGTGAACGCGAAAAATTTGCTTTTTTGTTGCTTGTTTTAGAAAATTCTTGTGATTGGTGGGAATGTGTGTTTAAAGTCTCACAACATAACTAGACCAGCCTGAATGCTATACTGAGTGGTGGGAAAGTGCACGTGTCGTATGTGCTGCAAGGTGCAAATGGCTTCTGCTAACCAAGGACTCTAGTGTGCCGCAAACTTTCTTCCAAGATGGCGGGTGGTACATGCTGTATCAGCTGCGCATGGGGCATGTTGTGTCGCTGATACAACGTACCGACGATATGCTATTGGCTGTTTTACCGTCAATGAGTTACTGACGTGATTGTCATGACTAACTGACATCTAGATAACAAGTCGACATTTACATTACCTATGCACATCCAGAATGTTCACCTGAACAACCGAAATCTAGGTGACAATGGTTGCAAAACAATTACTGACTAATTAAAAGGGCAAAACTTGTCACGGCGCAATCGCGACGACTCAATAGCACAAACGAGCCCATCCGGTCCACGCGTCTTAACACGCGCTCAGGTGGGGGTCAAATTGACCCCCCGAAGGTTTTCAAGAATGCTTCCAGAGCGGCGCGGTGTAGCCGCGCTAAATTTTACATAGCTATAGATAATTAAATAGCGAATCGCTTGGCAAAATTTTTTAGATGTACCTTGTAAGGTCGCGGACCTATGGCAGGTCAAAGTCAGGCCATGGTTTCAGTGAAGGCAATTTCTAGGGAATCCTTCAATCTGATCCAACAACGGAGTGTTAGACCAAGCCATACATTCCTGAAATGCTTTCTTAGGCAACACAACAGTTAAATGAGCAAATTAAATTCACGTAAGGTCAGGTATGAAGGTCGCACTGAGGTAAAAACCAACTTGTTTTGTTACTCTAGAGCATGCTGTATGTGATAGTTTCTGGTGCTCATTTCGAGTTAACTGATAGCAGGAACGGCATTATACATCTTCCATGGGGCTCTTAGAGGTCAGGATAGGTCATTGAGCTAAAGTGACCAAGGTCAACATTTTGTTTTAGGAACATACTGCCTAGCGTAATCTTTGTCGCTCAGTCAAATGCAAAGCTCAAAGCAATCTTGTATGGTTTTGGTTACCATGACCTTCAAAGGGTCAAACAAGGTCACTGACCTTGAAAAAGGATGCAAACTTTTGCTTAGAAACAATTATCTAGGTTTTGGGTCACTTTATAGACCAACCTGGAACTTGACCCTGTTTGACCTTTTCTCACCCAAAGGTCATGACCTAGGAACCTGAAACTCTGACCTAAGTGAGTTCACGTACAGTTCAACACACCCCGTAGATTTGGGGTCTCTAGCTGTCTTAGTTTCTTAGACATCGGGGGAGGGGTCAAATTGGCCGCCCACCTGAGCGAACGGTATCTAGCCGGCCACCCGGGCGCGTGTTAACGCATTCAGTTTGCTTGCGATGCAAATTGCAACAGCAAAAACACAAACGCAATTTCCCCACTATGTGATGCATTTTACCCGGGAGTGGGGAAGATTATCTCATCTGAAAGGGGCTCATTCAATAATCGATTAGATTAACAGAAGACAGGATCCAAAAACTTTACCATCACATATGAAGCTGAATGCTATAGTTTTCTGCACGCATAATGTATTAGTCCTATGCTCAGTAATTTAGCAGAAGAGAGCTCAGATTGAAAACTGGCACAACTCTTCGCCCTCTCCCCTACTGCAGTGGTAGACTGTTACGGGCGGATGATAACTGAGACCACAACTAACACCAACTGAACTCTACAGCTGGAGTAATCAAAGGGCCGTACATTATGTCTTTGCATGCCTCAAACGCAACAAATGCATCAATGTCAGCCATTTCTGCATGTAATGAATATCCCCTTGCACCTTTTGTAAGTCACCACGAGGGTGACTGAGCTGTGTTGAGTTTTAGCTTGTCACCATTTCTGCAAGTAGTTGTGAAACAGATGCTAATAATCAGACATAGCCTAGGCAACGATAACTTCCAACAAATCAAGCACGACGAAATGCACGAATATGTAGGGAGATACAAGGGACAAAGTGCGTGAATATGTAGGGAGGTACAAATTCCTATATGCCAAAGAAGGAAAGCCAATAGTAATAACATCTGAATGTCAAAGCTGAAAGAGTCTAGATGGCATATTTTTATCTGTAGGGAGTGTTAGTCTGTAGAGTATTTCATACGTTGAAATGATCTGAGCTGGTTGAAAGTCTCATACTCATTTCAGGGTATGCTCAGATCAGGCATAACAGCATGAAGCTGAATCGAAGGCTTATTTTTGGATTACAAATGGACACGATCCACTGGGCATGGCGCATGAGCCAATGTTGCTTGAAAACGCTGTTTCGTACAGCTACATGCAAAATGTTGGGACTTAAAACTTAACCCTCGCCCTTCGTAAGTTTTTTCACCCTCACCCTGTTAGGGGGTCTCAGAGCTTCCCCTCCTCTTTACCAAAGTCTCGAAAGTTGGGCAAGCTAGAGCCATGCGGAGAGCGACAATGAAAAGCTGAAATCGAATTGAATGACATAAAGGTATTTAAACAATGATGAATTT